CAATCCTGCACGCCTCGTCCTGCGCCTCCTGGCTCAGCCGGCCGCCACCAGATTGGCTGCCCCCCCCCGCCACACACACACTTTGGGCTCCACTTTCCGGGATAGATGCAGGGAGGTAGCTGGCTGCATGGCTGAGACCGACCACAGTCTCCCTCCTGGAAGGAGCCACAAGCTCTTCAGGCAGGTGGCCTGGGGGGCAGGGGGTGCACGTCTTACCCTCACTGGAAGCTGAAGTGCGGGCTGGGGAAGTGGAGGCACAAGTGGGCTCCATGGCAGGCCCCACCCACCCAGCCTGGCACCAGGAGGCCCGAGGCGAGAAGGTCCTCGGGGCCAGGCCCTCCCAGCAGCAGGAGTTGGAGGGCAGGGATGCTGCCCCGGGTCCTGCCCCAAAGGAAAAGCCTTGGCACCGGCCTGTCCCACCCCAGTGCCCCCTCCACCCCCAATGCTGAGCGCAGCGGTGACTTCCTGGAGAGATCACACACAAAAGTGCCTCCTCGACAGATTTCACCTCCGCAGAAGCCTGGACTCAGCACAAGCGCAGCCAGCGGCCTCCTAATCAAAGGTGTGCGAGCGCGGGGGGAGGGGCAGGCCCCGCAGAGCCAGGGCTGCAGGCCTCAGGGCCGGGCCTCCACCCACCTGAGGACACACACTGACAGGACAGCCTTGAGATGGACAGGAGTGATGGCTCGGGGCACCTCTGGAAGCCGGGCAGAGGGGACCCCAAAGGCTGGGCCAAGAGGAGGCTGCTCCATCCCTCTGGCTCATTCAAGCTGGGGCTCAGCCACCCTCCTCCTTCACTCCCCAGGGCAGAGTCCGCTTTGTGGAGAAGGCCTAGATGGCCCTCAGCTACCACAGCACCCGGGACCTCCCACAGCCCAGATTCCGTCAGGAAGGGTAGAGGTGCAGGGAGCTCGACGCCTTTCCCCTGGGCCCAAACTCCAGGCCGTGGACACAAGGCGGGAGGCAGGACAGCCGGCTCCGGCTCCTTCCCCAGGCCTGCAAACCCGTGGCCAAGCCTCCCCGGCAGGCCTGGTCCCGAGTACTCTGTATCCCAAGCCAGTCCAGCCTCACTCCCTCCTCCCTCAGACCACCTCCTCCAGAAGCCCTCAGCCACCAAAAGCCACTCTGAGAAAAGTCTAAAAATTTCCACTGAAGCATATGTAACGGAGAACCCCTCCAGCCCAGCCGGTGTGGCTCAGTGGTTAAACGACCTACGAACCAAGAAGTCACCTTTTTGATTCCTGATCAGGGCACATGCCCGGGTTGTGGGCTCGATCCCCAGTAGGGGACATGCAGGAGGCTGCCAATGGATGATGTTTCTCTCTATCCCTCTCCCTTTCTCTTTCTCTAAAAACAAAAATCAATAAAAACATTAACAAAAGAAAAGAAAGACCCCTCCAGGAATCTGTACTTTCCTAGGGCATAAAATGACAGCCAAACCATCAGCTGAAGTGTTTGAAAACATCTGACATCTCTAAGCCACGGACTGTGTGTGTGTGTGTGTGTGTGTGTGTACAGGGTGGGGCACAAGTCGGTTTACAGTTGTTCGTCTGGAAAACAAGACAATTAATAAATAGTACAAGAATAAACTCCATGTTCCATATACTCAAAACTGTAAACCTGCTCTTGCCCCACCCTGTGAGTGTGTGCTGGCGGGGAGCCAATCTCTGCAGACATGAGCCCCTGGGCAAGAGGGGTCCCCCGGGCTGGCCTAGACAAAACACTCCCGCACCCCTAGAGCCCAGGAACTGCCCCCACACCCGGGAGAGGCGTCCAGGACACACCACCCTCAAGCGGTCACTCCCCACTTGTCCCCATCATCTGGCCGAACGCCCATCAGGGCCACAGTCTCTGCTCACCTGCACAGCGCTGAGCCCCAACCTCCAGGGGGACAGCTCTGGGGTGATGGGGAACCGCATTCTTCCACCCCAGCCCACCCGCGTGCCCTGAAGCTCCCACCAGCTGCAGCCTCCACCCACACCCCCAGGCCCGGCTGCAAATGGGGGGCAGGACCTGCTCACCAAGCACCTTGGTCCCCAATGGCTCAGGCCTGCTGCTTCCTCTCATTGGCAATTTCCTGGTAGAGCTGCACCTGCTTGCCAACTGTCCTGTCCCCGGTCACCAGGCCTCAGGACAGGGTGTACTCTGCCCGGCTCTTTCCCGGAGCCTGGGCTCCCCACCGGACCCCACCCTTTCCTGCCCCCGCCACCCCGGCGGCCCCTCCCGCCAGGCCTCCCCGGCCTCTTTCTCCCGCTCTGGTCAGTGTTGCCCTCTCTTCCCCGCCCCTGGGCGCACGGCCTGGCCGACCAGACCACTCAGGGAAAGCCCGCCCGCCCGTCCCCAGCTCGGCCCCTCTAGGCTCCTCCCCTTCGCTCACTGGAGGGAACTATTTCCCAGTTTGGGGAACTGTCCCAGAC